TATGTTCTTTTATCATCTAATTTTAAGAATGCTAGCACTGTGAATCTAGGTAAGTCGATCTAACTGGAAGGCAGATCGTGTAATAACTCATAAACTATCTGGTTCTCGTTTATAGCGGTCTGGCTACCGAATAAGTTAGTTTACCAGGAGTGTGTGGCAAAGAAATAAAAATCATAACGCTAGGTTGGGTGTACAATAATAAAGAGGTCAGATGGAACAGGCTCACTAAAAATCACTTCCTTTGAAATAGGTCATCGTTGGCCCAGGTCAGTGAATAAACAATAATCCAATTATGGTGTTCCAGGGGTCTTCTTCCGAACAGTCCCCACAAATAATAGATTCCGAAAATGATCTGAAATGTTTTGATATCAGAGATAGCACATGAGACTCGCGGATGACCGCTGCAAGTGCGAGCGAAATTAGAGGAGAGAGTCGAAGCACGTGACCAAGCCTGTATTATCTGAAATTGCACATGTGCGCGTTTATGTAGTTTGTTCGTATTCCAAAAAAACGTTGGCGGCTTGTAAGCAGAAAGGACCGGAATCAGAAAGTGGATTCTTATGTGGTAGCACACTAACTTCAGCCACCGGACCTACGAGGAAACGTAGACCACTTGAACAATCGGTGATGTGGAATGGGCGACTAGTGCGAGAAGGGCCACAGACAGTCGTTGTCGTTACTGACTGGCAGGGGTGTTTAAAAAGGATGTTGGAACGCGGTTTGACGGAACGAGGCCGTTGGCATTTGTGAGCTTGAGGACCGTAACTTTGGTGATATCAGCAGCACGGGCACGATACAATGATCGGGATCGTGAACGCGGTCGATGCTTGTTGATCTCTAGCCGCTGTAGGCGATCAGTTAAAGTATCAAATTTAGATTGTGGTTGTGATATAGAAGCAAGAATCAGATCAAAATCTGTAGACGTGGTGGGTGTTGGGCGGGAGACGGAGTCTACGGGGTAAGTCTCGTGGACCTTATCCGCCATTTGGGCTGTGGTCATCAACGAGAGCACTGATGACGGGAGACATGGATGGTGGAAGTTTGTCGAGCCATTGTTAGGTCATGATTTCCACCGCTAGCTTACGGCCGCAGAGAAGTCTGCGCATGTGTCGAAGCGGCTGTGATGGCGACCTGTCACCAAGTTCGACAGTGGTGAATAAATCCCGTAGCATTCTGTTTTCTGACTTCTCTGTCCTACTGATGACGGCCGCTCGAATGGCGTCATAGAGATCTTCCTTGATAATATATCACAACAGATCTTCTACTTCTGTTGCTACATCACAGGAAAGGTGCTTTACAACAGAAAAATCGGTTGGCTTGAGAAGTGATGTGTCGGGTAGTAAAAACGGCCTCCACTTGGNTGACGCAAATGAAGGTTGGACAAGCTATAGTGGAGATAGATTGGGTGTATTGCAATTTAGGTAAGAGAGAGCGGGTGTTGCTTAGAACGGCAGGAAGATTGCTAGCGGGATCGGGGGAGGTGGGTAATATGGCTAGCAAGAAGTTGACAAGCCCAGGGAGGTCAGTATGGAATGGGGTTCTCGGGGGTTCTCGAGTTAGTAGGCGAAGTAGGACCAGGTAAACATACGTGAGAACAAGATGATGGGGCGTACCGCGATGGGTACCGAGGCAGCGTTTGGGTGGCAGGGGAGGTAGCGGGGCTCCATGGACAAAGAGTAACAGGCTGGGCCGGGCAATAGTTTGTAATAATGTAATCGATAGCCAGGAGGTGGTACCGTGTGTGGTAGCTCAGCAGAAACAGCGGGATTTAGGTCACGCGGGGTGGAAGGGCAGGAGAAGTGTTTAAGAGACAGGGGATGAGAGGGTAAAACAAGGGCACCGAGAGGTCAGGTGGATCCGTTTTGTAGAGCCTTCAGCATCGAATCGTAGGGGGCGGAGGGAAAGGGTAACCGAACTGGGCTGATTGGAGGAGACGGAATAAGAGATTTATGGTAAGAGATGCACGGTTAGGAGAGGGGACATGGTGCAGTGAGGAAGCTAGTGGTAAAATCAAACTCCCTGGCAGGAGTGAGCTCCGTTGGGAGTGAGCAGGAATCCTCTGCGTTGGCTGTCGTTGAAGGGGGGTTTGAGTAGGAAGCCGAGGTACAGCTAGAGGTCGTAGAGTTGGGGGTGTGCGTGGCTTCGGATGGGGCGGAGGCTGTGGTGGAGTAGATAGTTGCTGAAAAGGGATCCCAGGCATATAGTTAGCAGGTTTCCAGAAGGGTGGTACTTGATAAGGTTTAGGATTACGTAACAGTGGTCGTGGTTTAGAGACCCTGCCAGGGAACTGAGTAGCACTGCTAGAGGGGCTACAGATGTGATTATGAGGGATTACGGGTTTAGTCAGGCCTGTAGAAGGGCGAAGAGCAGAAGCTCGGGAGTTGGTACAGGAGAAGGGGTTACAGTGCGAGGCTTGGACAGCAGTGCTTGAGTCCAAGGAAGCGCTCTGGTGGGGAGACACGAAGTGTCATTAGGTCAAGAGGTCTAGAGTGAGAACCTGTGCTATCATTCTCCACCACAGCCTCATGTGTGGGCTGATTAGTTACCGCATCTCTTAAATCAGCAGTCGATCTCGTTGGCGTGGTGGGGGTCAGAGATACCATTTGTGGATGCACAGAGATAGGAGTGGAGGCCTCATGGTCATGAGCATGGGGTACAGGACCTGGGTCCAACAGACAGCTTTGTGTGGCATCGTGGCACTCGTCAGCGCAAGTACTGGTGGGTGACGATGCAACAGGTTCCGGTGACTTTTTGGTAAGCTGTCTTTCCATTCTTGTACGAGCAGCTTTAAGTTTTAAGGTATGGAATTTTTTCGTAGATGAGAGAAGAGTCCGGGCTGTTAGCAGACGCGCGGCATTTTTTTCATCCCGGAATTGCATTACTATCGGGCAGCACATGGATGGTTTCGACTTCCGGAGTCGCCGAGCTTTGCATATGGCGTCCTGCATGCCACATGCATTCAGGATGGCAGTTTTGGCATGCTCAATTGGGATTCGATCGGATGCATTGAATATTAATACTTGATGCCGGCATTCGATGGGTTGACTAATCTCAGCTATGGTGTCAATAAGAAGTGACGCTTTTTCTAAGTTTGTTTAGTTGCATGTTGTGTCAGGATTCAGAAGGCATACAGTCGATTGTATTGTTCGGAGGGAGGACATTTCGTTCTCCATTTGGTGCACATGTGTTTTGAGATTTTCTAGGTCATTTAGGACTTCAGAACCTACTGGCAATGGTGAGAGAGTGTTGCCGGGTTGAGGAGGCAAGGATATGCCAATTAAAACAACTGAACAATCTAAGGTTGCTTGGGATGCTCTCTTTGCCGGCTTCGAGAGGTGAGGGGGTTGGGAGCTGGATCTGCTGGATATAAACCGCTTCTTTCATGCCGGGAGGATAGCTGATGGGGATTCGAGGTCTAGCGACCGCTTTGAGAAAGACGGGACCGGTGACATAATGAGAAACTTTGGAGCAGGTTGAGGAATGATTTATTTGGTGGAATACAGTTGAGAGTTCTAGGGTAGTAGGAGAACTATGGATTGTATGGACATAGACACAGTCAGTCTCAGATACCTATGTGGGCTGGTAGTTCAGATAGGACTGTGGAAGCGCGGAACAGTGGCGGAACGTTGGACGGAACCACTATGTAGATGAAGACTAAGCACGCTCCACAAACTGGGGCTAGCACTAATTATGCCTACTGGAGAAACGAAAGCCTGTTTGGCACAGTGAAAGCAGCTATCCCGTATAAAAAAACTGGTAAGAGACCTATGGATGGGCTAGAATAATGAAAAAATTCTACAACACCTGACCTTGAGATTTTGGTTTCGCGCCGTTTTGTTTTGTTTACTGATGCAGTGGACGCTAGTGACCTTTGGCCTTGGCGCATCACATTGTGGCCAACCGTGGAGTGCTGAAAATGATCCTCACCGATCAGGGGCCTTGCTTTGAGAGTGCTGCGTTTAGGAGTTGCTTGCAGAGGCTGGACGTCATGCGCCTAAGGATGGTACCATGCCACCAGCAAACAAATCGTATAACTGAACGCAATAACTGGACAATAAAGAGGTAGCTGGTGGCCAAAGTGAAGACCGGGAATTGTATCTGCCAGTGGTATCGCTAACTCATCGTGCTTCCATGCAGCCAACCACAGACAAGTTCCCGTTCAGGCTAATGTACAGTTGATATCCGCGCCCTCCGGTCTACCAGGGAATTGGGTTATGGCCGGCAACACGCTTGTCTTCGGTGGAGCTGGGAGAGAATGAAGGCTCGAGAAAACTTGTCCACCGTTCAGGACATTCCCCATAATAGCGGAGGTCAATTGGAGGGACCATCAGAATGCTGGAAAGAGTAGACTTGGGTCGCTGAAGCTGGGTAATCGATGGCAAGATCCGTTTGTCCTCACCGACCGTCATGGGAATGTCCATACAATTCAAGACAGTCGGGGATCGAAAAGTGTGAATGGGACTCAGCTACAGAGGTGGCATGATATATCCGAGGAGCTGTCGAATAGACCTGCTGCATTAACTGACCTAACGGACGGGAAATGTGTGTAGAGGCGGATATTACTAATGAGACATGCGGTTAGTATGTGTTTTTCTCGTAACTCCGCCTCGCGTCTAATGGAAGGTGGGGTTAATTGCTAAACCCATGGAACTACTTTGCTGCGTTCGTTTACAACTATGGGATGGTCAGTGAAAATTCACAGAAATTCAAAGGGATGTGTGAGGATGTTCAGACTCGGCAATGGCTGAACCTGCGCTGGACACAGGAAACAAAATGGATTTTGAATATGTTGAGGTTTTGAGGCGAGGAATACAGTCCATGCCATAGGGCCTGAGGGTCAAGACGGTAGAAATCACCAAACACTCAAGTGTCAACAGAATAGAAGTCGCGGAGCTGAAAAGCGAGTTGCGAACGGTTATGGATCAGTCCAGCTGACCCGTATTTATGTGCGGTTATCAGAAGGAGTTGTCGTCATCTGGATTACACTTAACCTCATCCAGCTTACTTGCTTCCAACAATCACAGGCCCGCAAAGGCCAGCGAAATCTATCGGTGGCACACGTGGTAAAGCATCTCTAGTGGATAACGCTAGCAAATACCAGTTCAAAGTAGTTAAATCAAGTGAGTAAAAAAATAGGGGGGAAGATACAACTCACAGTTCGTTGGTACAGCTAGTTGTTACCACCACGATAAATCCAAATCGATCTCTTTCCTGGAATCTTCCCTAATATATTCCTAGATACTTTCTATCCTATCGTAGTCTGAAAGGTAGAACACCGCTCGTTAAGTCACTGACAGCGTAACTCGACACAGCAAGAATGGAACACGCCTTTCGCGACGTACAGAATTTGTATTGTGTGTATGCATCCATATTTCTTTGCTTTCATTTAAACAAAAGTTGTTCGGTATGAAGAGAAGAGGAATAAGCTGAGATTTAGTGAGCGATAGAAAGTGGTACAATTTGAATAATGATGAGTTAAAAAGAAAGTACTAATGTAAAATGGTCAGAAGGATCACCATAGAACTCCAACCCCTGAGCGTTGCATAAACAAGATAAACGCTCGACAAGGAACGCTACTAAGATATGTAATTGTGCAGCTTCGCTGACCAAGTCACTTTTCTACCGGACCGAGTATGAACAACTGGCTGTAAGTTATCCGGCTTTTGAGCTGCTATGTCGTTCGTGTTAAGCGAAGGCGTAGATAAGCGTTGTGATTGGTTGATAGGAGAGTATACGGCAAGATCAACGTGCGCTACTTTTAGTCGATCGATGCTGACGGTATCTTGAACACCTCCTTTGTCGATGACGAAATATTTAGGTCGGCACGAAATAACTCGGTATGGGCCGACGTACGGTGGCTGTAACGGGTTCTTCACCTGATCAACCCTTACGAAAACGAAGTCACAATATTTTAGCACTGGGGAGATTTGTGATGTACGAGTATGTAAACGCGTTTGTTGAGCCCTAAGATGTCTCACAAAGGAGCGTAAACGATCAACATACATTGTTGGGTCTATTCTCACTGCTTATTTTTGCTCAGCAACGAACTCACCAGGAAGTGAGAGAGGGCTGCCGTAAACCATTTCGGCGGTCGAACAGCCTAAATCTTCTTTCACTGCAGATCGGATCTCCAAAAGTAGGAGCGGGAGATGTTCTGTCAAATTTTGAGGATTACCGTGAGCAATCAATGCTGTCTTCAGCTGCCGATGGAAACGCTCGACTAAACCGTTGGCGCACGGGTGGTAAGCGGTAGTGTAGATGTGCGTCGAGCCAAGGAGACGGCTAAGGTTTCGAAAGAGCGAAGACTGGGACTGTGGATCGCGGTCAGTAGTGATTGTTGTTGGTACTCCGTAATGGGCAATCCATGACTCGAGAAAAGCTTGAGCCACGGTTTCGGAGTGTGTCTTTGATCGGCACGGCGATAGGCCAGCGTGTAAAACGATCAATGCATGTGAAA